CCTCGGCTTTCACAATCTACATTTTCACATTCTTACGCTGCCTTGCCTCATGCCACTTTGATGTAACACATGGGCATCATTATTTTCTTGTATTCCGTTAGCAGATTTTAATAATTTAAAGGTACATAGTATTAAGCTGTACCCATTTATATACCTGGATATTTTTATTAATGCAATTCAGGTCAAGGACCTTTCTCAAGGTCACATCAGCAGTCGGAGAGGGTGGTTCCTGAGCAGACCGCTGCGTGACGGCTTCCCTGCTCAGGCACCATTTACTGTGAGTTGCTGATAGCTGGCGCCTGACTATTGTGAGCTTTTGTTCAATACAATCAGAGCTGACCTTTTTTAGCCTGCATATACAAGTTTACGCAGCCTGAATACATTTTATCGGAGGACAGACGAGGTAAACAACTGACATTGCTTGTTGAGGCCAGTTTACTTTTAAAAACGATGTCTACGGTATTAAAACCTCTATTAAATACTACTTCAGTCATAATGACACATGGAAATTGATGTATCAATATTTCAAGTGTGGCACAATTTGTGCATTATCTTTGGCTCTGAGACAGACCTGAATGCAGTGCTTCCTTTAGCAAATAGATACGCATTAGCACCTGCGGATAAACTCAGAGGCTGGCCGAAACGGGCCTCCTGCTTCCTTCTACCACACGTTAAAGGTGCTTCTAGTACAATCCATCTTAAACGAGGACACCTGCATCTGAATGTTCTATCCACCACTTATCACCGTCTGACGGACTAGCGTGGCGACGATCCGGGGCTTATTTCAGGCAAAGACGATGTCAGTCCGCCACACACACTAAAGAACATGCCTTTGGATGGTGGGAGGGGGGGGGGGGGAGCCAGTGTAAGCAAGGAAAAACCAACAGAACCAGAGCTGGAGCCATTTTGAAAAAGCGATACATTACCAGCACTTCTATAGTAAACAAGTGAACTAACTTTGTTACTATGCTATATTCTAATTGCATTTTCTCTGTAGAATTATTATTAGTTGAGAGCATCTGGCAGGATACACATAAAAACAGCCTTTCACCCCCCCAGCATACAGGAATAAGGACCCAAAATCTGTGAAAAAGAAAAACATCCCTTTTCTCCATTTGGAATGGCCAATAATCCCACGCGAATTTGAAAGGGATGAAGTCCACTCCGCTTACGTACTGTCACACACCACGCTGGGAAGACAGTCTGTTCAGTTCCACGTGTGGTCCTGTAGGTGTCGCTGTACCACACTGAGGGGAGGGCATCTTACCCATACAACAGAAGGCTAGGCAAGTCAGCAGTCTGTGGACCACGTCGCCAGCGTTGCAGCGGTGGATCGATCCCAGATCCTCTCTGCAGGACACACCTGCTTTGACTGGTACATAACTACAAGGGCTATTGCAACTCTCAAGGTAAAAAAAATAAATAAAAATGTTTATATCACGTGGGACCATCAACGTTTGGAAAAGTTTCGCCCACTGTGGCTTGTGCTCACACTCGATATACAACCACGAGGAGATTCTACCTGTTCTCACCTGTAATCTCACGTGTAACACGAATCACAGCAAGGCCCAACCCACTCAATAATCAGACACAGCGTTATAAATCACTTTGCTTTATTTAAATCAGCGGTAGGGCAGTTATGGTATGACAGGGAAGAGGGGGGAAAATAAAAAGTCCAGTCAAAACAACTGCCCTTGGCACTGGATGAACATTTATGTTTAGGGGGGGGGGTAAGAGGAAAAAAAAAAAGATTATATATACCACACATGTGGGGCTCCTTAAGTATCAGAGCCACACAGTAAACTTAAATACCAGCTTACACAACCTCTCCATGTCCAATGGCCCTAAGCTCATTACACCCCCAAGGCCCTATGACTAACCTCCGAGGGGGCGGAGAATAAAGGCACAGTGCCCAGCCCCCTCCCCCCCTTTTTTTTCCCAAATCCTCGTTATTCTCATTTTGAAACGGTAGGGCGAACCTCCACGTGGAAATGGTGGTGACAGCACAATACAGACACGTCCTAGAGATCTACTCCAGATTATTCAAAATAATAACGATAAAAACTAGACCAAAAGAAAAAATCAACCCCCCACACCACCCATTAAAAAATAAACTATTCATGAAAAATGAACTGTCCTCACAGCAATTGATCAACATTTTTTTTTTTTAAACCTGAGTGGGAATTGGGATTTAAGAAAAAAAAAAAACAGAAAGTTCCAGTTGATTCCAACGAGTGTTGACCTTAACCCTGACCAGAACCATCCAAACACAATCTACCTGATCCCCAGATCCCAACTGCCAAGTAAACCCAATCCCCAGCGAAGCCTTGCCCACCCACTCACTGATGACCATGTGGAGTGTGCTCACCTCCTGGCGTAGGAAGCAGGGGGGGGCAGGAGCGCATGTGTACCCCTACCATCATTTAAGTTGGCTTCATGCGTCCACACAAAAAAAAGGGACTTTTGGGTTTAAATTATTAAGTTGTGCCCCCCCCCCCATAACAAGCCCCCTCATACACTCTCAGCTGCCACAAACTCAGTGGGAAACTGATGACGACGATAAGAACAGCTAAAGAGAGCAGTGTGACAATCAAAATCTTAACTGGGACTTAAACACACGCGTGTGCGCACGCGCAC